CCCCCCCCCCCCCCCCCCCCCGTCCAACAGTTGTACGGCATCTTCTTTATCGCTTCGTACCTGGCGTGCGATAGCTTCACCTCTCAGTGGCAGGACCGCATCTTCAAGAAGCACAAGATCGACCAGTACCAGATGATGTTCGGCGTCAACTGCTTCTCCATCCTGTTCACCACCTCCTCGCTCCTCTGGGTGAGTATCGTAGCAAAGCTTTTGTGCCGAACGGTCGAGGTTTTCCATCTGGACTGTTTTTCGGATGGTTTCACCCTGGTTTTCGCGGGGGCTCGGCGATGTGATTTCCAGGCGGTTTGGTCTTTTTACCCTTGTTGGCCGCCTTTTCGCCGCTGCGATGCCACCCCCTTTTCCTCCAGCCTCACAAAGTGTCCAAATAGTGCAGTAGTGCAGATGCGCGGCTTTTTTTTCAGGCTTCTTCACGGGTAGAGCTGTATGTGCAACGTTTTGAGACCTCCCCTTCCCATACCGCACACCCTTTTGGTCATCGAGACAAAGTACATTGGTCGCAAGCTGAACCACCTACGCGCGTGCAAAGTTTGTTATGTTTTGTTCGCGCTTGGCATCAGCTGCCTGCCTCGCCATCATCCCTGTCTTGTATACATGCCATTTTACCAGACTCGGGCAGGAAACACCTGCATGCCCCACGCCCTTCCACCGCTGTATTGTAGGCATGCCCCCTCAAGAGAATTCGGTTGGGAAACATTTGTTTGGTGACCTCCCCCGCTCTTCCGATGCTGCTCCTCTATATCGTGAGCGCAGAGCGGCGATTTTGCTCGAAGCCCTTTCAAGTAGTCATTGCCATCTCTCACTGCTGTACATTCCCCCGAGTCTGTCTCTCATTCTTTTCCGACGACCTTCCTTTTTTTTTTTTTTTTCGCTTTCGCCTGATTCTGCGCGCCCCGGTTTGTACCGCCTCCTTTGACCTCAGAACGGCGGGTTCGCCGAGAGCTTCCGTTTCATGTCCACGTACCCGGCGGCATTCTTCCACGTGGTGATTCTGTCGGTCACCTCCGCCACCGGGCAGCTGTTCATCTTCTACACCATCAAGAAGTTCGGGCCCATCATCTTCACCATCATCATGACCACCAGACAAATGGTCTCCCTTGTGCTGTCGGCCGTCATGTGAGTTGATGGAAAGTAGTCCATCACACTCCCGGACATGGTTAATTGCATGGTCGACTGCCTGGTATTGGCATCCCCGCTTGCTTGGTTGACTGGCGGGTTTCTGGTCTCATTTGGTTGTCGCCGGTATGGTTAATGACCTTGCTCTTCTTGTCTACGAAGCGACGTGGCGGATCACGTTTCTCGTTTCATCTGTATCAATAGTCGCTGGTTGTGGGCACCTTGCTGTTGATCCGACTTCTGCTGCGAGGGCAGACTTGATTGTGGCTGGGTACGGATCCCGTTCTCGAACCCCCCCAGAGCCCCACGCAGCGAGTGCGCAAGAGCTTGAGAAATGGTTTCTTGCAAATGTGCTGTCTGTAACGACGTACTCAACGTAAATTTGCTCAACGGAGGTCAAACGATGCAGCCAACGCGCACGCGGTATTGGGTTGATTGTGATGAAACGTTGCGATGGTGCGATGGTGCGCGGGTGCTCGTAGCCTCCGTCTCTGTCTCCCCCTGCAGTATTGATAACGGATCCAGGCGCTGGGTTCTCCTGGGGCTAACCCATGTCTCTTGCGATTTCATTCCTTTCGGCCCTGGTTGCCCACAGTTGAGCATCCGCACGACCTTTTCGAACACAGCCCCGCTTGTGCGGAATCCGGCTTCTCTGTTCTGTGCTCTTCGCCACCTTCCTTACCTCCCTCCCTCCTTCCCGCCTTCCAAATCTAATGAATATCCCTCGCTCCTTGGTACCCGTGGGTGATGCGTGAACCGCCGAGAAGGTTCGGGCACTTGCTCGGGCTTGGGTGCTGGGTCGGGGCGTTCGTCGTCTTCGGCACGATCGGGTACCGCATTCGCAGGAAAATGCAGTCCAGGGGGTAGAAGGACGACCTGCTTGCTCAAGAGTCCGACTACTTTTAGGAAAGGAAACAGGAGATCTTTAGTGTAGTCATTGGCTACGTGGGGTCGGAGGAGCGAGCGGTTCACTGGCGGGGTCCGCCGCCCGTTCGTTCGCGTGCGCGAAAGGGGAAGCGCAGAGTGGAAGCCGGTTGCAACGGGGAGGGGGCACAGGCAACGAACGTTCGCTTGTCTGCAGGATCGGTTTGAACGGTGTCGGATGGAGACTCCGTGTGCGTATGCCGGATGACGACTCCCTCGCGTGTACTCAAGTGGAGGAAGGCGCACATGCGTTCATCTCCGGATTTGTTTGGGGTTGCGTCTGTCCTGTTGTCCGGGGGACAGGGTCAATCTCTGTGGGATACCATCCGGCAGGAATTGGAACGTACAATCCTTGGCAACGCCCATCATTTTTGCGTAACGTCCTCTTTCTCTCTAAGGATCTGTGCTCCGTGTCACAGGATTTCCAAAACCATTCCCCTTTGAATCGACGCCTCGGGAGGAGGCGGCGGCAGTCTAGTATGAACTTCATGCCGGCACATCATTATGTTGCGTCTGTAGGGTTGGAATCACAGAACGGTTTGGCTGGGGATCACCGACCTGGCTGTCCTTTTTGGAAGACGGAGTCGAATGTTGCTTATCATAATGACGATAATGACCATTGCTTATCACTTGGGGGGGGTTGTTGCTCGGGACGGAGCAAGCTGCTCCGGACGGGGAACCTTCCAATTGTTGTGCAACCAAGAGTAATTTTTATTTTTGTTCTGTTTTGTGACTGGGCTATTTGGCGTGATCATGTCCCTTCAAGGGCACCGCTGGCCCCCCGATGTGAGACTTCGACTACTCTCGCCCTCCCCTTTCGTATGTTCTTTCTATTGCGTTTTTTTGGTGCTTGTTTTTTTTTTTTGGTCATTGCCGAATGGGTGGCGGGCGCCACAGCAGCGGTGGCACTATTTGGAGAACGGCTTGACGAGCACGCGCCATGGACGTCGATGGGCAACGTAATATTTGTGGCGATCGATTTTTTTCAATGCTCCGGGGCAAGACGACCGATCTTCTTGTGCTTTTGCGGCGGCGGCGGCGGCTTACTTGCGTTTTCCCGCGGCTGAGTCAACGTGCGCCGGCCGTACGTGTTTCCTCAGGCGTGTTCCCCCTCGCGGGCGGTCTGAATGGCCTACCCAGTATGTATAAGTCCGATGTAGGCGGGGGTGGGGGGGGGGGCACTCATAGTCGTGCATGCCGTAGTCGTTGGACCATTGACC